TTAAATCATTTTTCGATAATATAATAATAAATATTTAAAAATTTATTTTATTTTAAAATAGCAAATGAGAAAAATATTATTTATTTATTTATAAACGTTATGTTGGTCTCAGGACGACAGCGAGAAGAGAATCGAGTGGACACCTTTAGAACATACCTACCGAAATTTATTTATGTGCGTAAACACCTTTGTGCATCGATCGAGGGGGGAGTGCCGGACCCCTCGAGTGGGGCTACCAGGCGTCTATGAGGCCCTGCCGGCCTTAGATAGAAGGCGCCAGGTAGGTGAGGCCGCAAGGCTAGGAGAGAGGAGAACCCGAGAGGTGGTGCACTGCCCGCCGCTCAGCAGCCACGTTGCTAGTCACAACCAATGAGGAGATTGGCCCGTGTACTATGGGCGGAGTTACAGCACTCGTCATCCATATTCATCGGCGTTGGGCTTTTGGTACACTTGCCACTTTAAGTAGTTGCTGTACGGCCGCACAGCAGCCACAGTCCCTTTCTTTCTTAGTCAGGTATATACCTTATACCGTCACCACGTTGAATTTCACAGAATTCACGGCCCCGTATCCCACTATGGCGGGCAATGCGGATGGCCTTGATCAGGACGTCAGCAACAAATCGGCATTTATGGAGATCCAGCAACAAGGATTGTCTACCATGTCTCACCATGCCCAGGCATATCCCATTCGGTCGACTTATCCAACTCAACAGACTCAACATGAAGCTGCCTTTGCTACATCGCAGCACCCTAGGCCTCTAGGTGCCTACCCGTTTCCTATGAACAATAATCCCTTGAACAGTTCATTGCACAATAGTTATACGCATCCGAGCCACCCTTGGACATATCCAGCCAATGTGCCAGGATGTCCTCCCTGTCCATCGCCGCCTAGAGATGGTAAGTAAGCTTTGTTTTTATTATCGGTTAGGCTTAACAAGCGAAGCGTCCCGGATAGGGAACGTTAGGCTTAGTAGTATTTACGTGACCAGAGTAATAGTGAAAAGCCGTTAAATGTTTTGTATCGTCGAGTCGCCTTTAATGAAATGTTAATGATGGCTCAACACGCGATGAGTCAATAACGTGCTGCACAAATTTAACGTCTTTTCAAATATACACAGTACTGCACATGCCAATAGTAAACAGAGTGAACAATTACCCTCAGCTGTTTATAATTACCTGTAATTGTTCACATAATCACACTATTGGCAGCCGCCACTCGATAGCCTTGAACCACTCCATGTCTCTACCATCCTTAAACTTAAATTCGCTTTTTTATAAAATCACTTTTTTATAAGGGTTTTTAATCCGTTTTAGACAAAACACAACTTGAAGAAACGCTTCGGGTTAACGGTAAAGGGAAAAAGATGCGTAAACCACGTACTATCTACTCAAGTCTTCAACTTCAACAGTTAAACAGGAGATTTCAACGGACCCAATACCTAGCCCTGCCAGAAAGAGCCGAATTGGCAGCATCCTTAGGACTAACACAAACTCAGGTGAGTGTTATTGCCTCGGGGGCTCCGTGAACCCGACTCACGCACACCCTGCTGCCTCTCTCTTAAAATTAGGCCTGCGACAGGGCCTATGCACATACTACAGCCTATTTTCATACTGTGGGTAGAAGTGTGGGTTAGCATCATGTAGGATATATCGAGCATGTGGGAAGTGAGAGCATGACAGGTGGTGTAAAACTGAGACCGCCGCTAATATAAAACACCTGTACTGCACATGGTAGTCTATATTAAGTTAGCGTTACGAGTTATTTTAAACTAGATTATCCCTCTTAAATCTATCGGATTGTATCTTCCTCTAATGCATAAGAGAGGGTGACATAACAACATCGATAGTTGCAATCAGTGGCGAATTAATGACATTACTGGTAATGATACTCGTCATCCCTTCTATATTAAATAAAATGCACACGCGATTCTTCCTTTAATAGCGATTTAAACGACGGCAACCTGTCATAATAATTAATTTGTCCCTCAAGTGTTCTTTTCAATCTATATGGACGGAAGGTTAATATAGTTTTTCTCTTTCAAAAATATATATAATTTTTTAAATATATAATTCTATAAGGATATGTATTGATGGAAAGTTTGTTCGTGACAATCGTTCTTCTCGGCAGTGTTGGCGCACATGCATTCAGTTACACTTATCTCAACACAGACAGCCAACATGACAAATAGAGCTATCACGATAGCCGAAAGAAGATGAACGATCTCGAAAATCTCAACCTTATTTAGAGATATGTCGACTTTAATATATAATTTAATCCAAAATTTTATATAAAAATAATAAATAATTTCATTTTCATGTCATAAAATATTACAATTTTTTAATACATAAAATATTACTATAATAATATAATATAGAATTAAATCATTTTTCGGATGTTGCGATTTTTCTCTTTCTCTCTTTGCCCGCCCGCATCACTGATAATTTTAATATTTTATTTTCTAAAAAAAATCTCTCTTACATCATTATATTTTAATAAGAATAATTCGAATAAATTTCAAAAAAAATTCATTTTATTATGTTTAAATCCTTAAAAAATTGAAGCGTATTTTATTTTATAATTTTAAATAAATATTTCTTATATAAAATGGATTAATTTAAAAAATTTTAAATGATAATACGTAAGTTATTTGTATGTTTTAGTGTTTTACGACGTAAAATTCACAAACATTACGCCTTGTTTAGACATTTACAAGTTGGTCTTAAAAATGCTCCGTTTGAATTGGATTGAGGTAATCTCTGGGGGTGGAGGTTTTAACAAACAAAAGTAACTGTTGGTATTTTTGTTTTGACAAAATTTGTTTACAATGTTGTTTTTCATACTAGTTTACAGCAAACAGACTTTCGGCTCCTTTTTATTAGACTCTTTTTCCTCGAACGGGGAAAGAATAATCAAATAAAATTAGGCGGAGTCTACTTTACGATTTTCTTTTCTTTTCTTCTCTTTGATTTATGTTTTCAACAACTTTGGTAAAAGAATAGAGTTGTTAAAATTTTCATCTTCCACATTTTATCACTTAAGAAGTAATTGCTCGATGTTTTTCTCGTATTGACGTTAAAAGAAAATTTAAATTTTGTAAGCTGTCAATACCTGAAGACGTTAACAGAATTATACACCAGGTTAATAAAAATTATATTATTTAATATTAATAATAGCATCAGTCTATAAATCAAATTTATGAAACTATTAGATAGCGATCACACTACACTACCATTTGTTTTTTTTTTTTTGTTTTGCTATTAAAACATTCCTTCGTCTATAATTTTATTACTGATATCACAGCAGCATCTTCCAATGAGGTATCTAAAGCTTATGAAACTTTATTTAATTCATTTTTTTTTTTAAATTTTAAACAGAGATATAAAATATGTAGGCTTGTTTTAATTCGGCCTATAGGCTATAAATTATAACGAAACGTAGGCTTGGCGCAAAAATGGTCGATCTAACTCATAAAATAAGTATCTATAGGCCCGTATTTAGTCATCTGTTTTATACTTATGTAGGCTAATTTAATGCGTAGTGTGCGTAAAACGTTTTATACTCGATCGATTCTTAACTAGGCGTGCCTATAGGCATGAAATTCAACGGATGTTGCTACGAGTTAGCCATTAAATAATACTCTAACACTGAGTAGATTTTCATTTTTCTTTAAATAGATGATGGCAATTAAATTAAATTGGTTTAGGTTCGAATAACGTTGTAACGCTTTCTTATATAAGATTTCCATCGATTGGTTTACAGGATTTTGAAATTAGTGAAAACATTTAAAAAAAAAAAAAATAATAAATAAAATGACAAACAGACCGGAAATTACTTTTTTTTTTTCTGCGAGAAACTAGGCCCTAGAAGTCTCGATTCGTGCCTAGCCCAATTTTAACGTGTTCGCACCGTTTAACAACGACTCTTGCTCACCTGTTCCAACTAGACCGTGAAGTTAGAAGTGAGAGTTCTTCGTGGGAGGGCAAAACACATTCTTGGCCGGAAAAACTGTATCAGCAAACACTAAAATTTTATAAACGTGAAAATACAGTATATAAATAGGAAACGAACAAAACAATAAACAATAAGAGAAAAACAGTTTCTGTTTTTGTGACCTATGCAAGGATTTTTTTTTAATTTTTTAAAAAAGTTCCCACTCTTTCCTTGCATTGTCTATTGAAATGGCCTCCGTTGGATTCCAACCTCCTACCGAACATTTCAAACGGAGCTTAGTTATTATACAAAATTTTAATTTATAGAAATAAGATAGATACCTTTTAATTATAAGCTTACTAGTAATTTTTGTTCTTGAGTTAATCCAACTAAAAAAATAAAAAGAATTATCTTCAAATTTTAATTTATAGAAATTAGATAGATACCTTTTAATTATAAGCTTACTAGTAATTTTTGTTCTTGAGTTAATCCAACTAAAAAAATAAAAAGAATTATTGCTTAATAGTACTTTCACAATAACTTGGTGTTGCTGCAGTTTTTACCTTCTGTTCCATTACTGCAATTAGCTATTGCTAATTTGAATGCATGGGCATTGTGGTTAACATGTGTAAGTTATTTCTAGAAACAAATGGTTCTGTATCTCAAATATTTCAGTGACCCTCATATAATTACACTCATTTCTAAGAGAGAATTTGTAATATTTACTTAGAATAATATGTATATGGAAATATGTTTTCTAATTTAATTGAGAAAGAATGCAAAATCTAAGATTTAGGTACTGTACATAATTATCGTGTTCATAATAGTGTCTATTGAGAATGAGAAGGAATAGTTTCTTAACCTTGTAAAATATACCTATACAGGAAATTTTCATGTACTGTACAAAGTAGTTTTGCATAGAAGGTATCAAAATAAAGGTATTGATATGAAAATTATTAGTGTACATTGACTATATTTTTCTTTAATACACCAAATTTGGAATATATTATCTTGATTTTTACATTGATTATTTACTTATATTAATGTACATCTTTTAAAAAAATCTATATTTTTATCAAACCAACTAACATGGATACCCAGATTGAAAAAGCTGAAGCTGAACTTGCAAGTCATAGGAATAGGATTATTGTTGTCTATTCTTGGACAAACATAGCTTGATTGGTTTTATGATAAAATAAAAAAATCTAAGCTACAGTGTGTCCCAAGAGTATATATAATCAACATTTTACTGCTTTACAGAATTCTTAGGGATTTAAGAGAGATATAAATAATTTCATTTGTATATGCAAATTACTTTACACTGATTTTTGATAATTTCAAAATTAAAGATTATTATATTAATAATTTAACAACAAAAATATATTTTTGGCTGTCCCAAAGTATAGATAATAAAACAGAATTGTTAAATTTGAAACATAAACTTAAAATTACANGCTTAACTTTTCGTTTAAATCTCATTACCGAACATAAAAGAAAAAGTTTATAAAATAATTAACTTTACGACACGAGTGTAAGCATCAATAGTAGAGAGTCGGTATTCGTGTGCAGTATCTGCCTTAGGTTTCGCCTAATTACTTTATCGCTGATTGGAGACGATAAGCCGGTCTTTAAGCTTCAAGCAGAGTTTATCAGACATGTAACGCTTGGCTTAGATAAAAGCAGCGCATTTATCCGTACTAGTCTTTTGTGTTCGCAACCATATCTCTCGGTTTGGTTCCTAGATGAGGTTTGCACGCAGTCCTACTTTCTAGGCCGACATCAATCTCATTGCATCTTCGCCTATTCATATCTATACTCATCTTTTTAGGTCTTCCAGCCCCGTTTGTTAAAAAAAACAAATTAATTTTCATAGAAATATATATATATATATACGTCTAACAACCAAAAATTCTCAATTTAATGCACTTATTACTGCATAATAATCTTAATTTAAGGCAGCAAATTACACGAAATAACTAGTTTTTTTTTCGTTGAAGGGAGGAAAAAAAAACGTAAATATCTTAAAAATGTTATGGAATTTATTTTAATTTATAGGCCTAATTGATTAAGCTCATATATCATATAAAATTCGAGTAAACAAGTTTAGACAATGCATACGAATTAAGCGAAATACATCTCAGTTTTTAGAGTGACAAGAGTCTCTAGGCATTTTATGCGTTTATTTACGATGGAGGAAACAATGGTAGGCATCTAAACATATTTAGATAAAAATCTTTCATGTTAAAACATCGCCATTAAATTTTGGTGTTTTAATGAACTCCGTTCGATCGAAAAATATTTAAAGTAGATACAGTGTGAGAGAATCTCATTTTTCAAAAAACGATTTTAAAGGTGACTAAAAGTGTAATATTTTCACAGTTTATGACACACGTGACTAACCGGATGGTATTCTCGTGACTTCGTTTCACACAAAAGAATAAAGCAACAGTTATTCCGTGGGGGTGGGATGATCATTAAAATAGATGACTGGGGTGTGGATGACTCTCATTTTTTCGAATTCTTTACTTAATTTTCACTCAAGTAGACTATTTAAATAGCTTAGAT